TATAGAACAATGGTAATTAATTTTCTAAAATATAATATATATGAATGATTATATAAAACACAAAGTATATTTACAAACTATGATATTTATGACTATATGCAAACCAATCAAATAATTTAAAGGTTAACCTCTCCAAAGTACTAAAAAGCAATAGAGTCAGTTTAAAGACTAAGGTGCACTTGATCTAAGCCATGGTATTTTCCACTGTTTCCTGTTCATCTGAAAATTGGACAATGAATAAAGGTGACAGAAGAAGAATTGATAACCTTGAATTGTGGTATTGGCAGAAATATCCCATGGGCTGCCACAAGAATAAACAAATCTGTCATAGAGAAAATGCAAAGAGGGGAAAGCTCTGTCTCACATACTTTGGCATGTTGTCACAAAGGGCCAGTCCTTGGAAATGGCATCATGATGGGAAAGGTGGAGGATCATAAAAAGAGGAAGACCCACGACCAGATAGATTGGCGTAATGATTATAAGCCCATAATTATGGGCTTGAGTGTGTCAAAAATTGTGAGGATGGTACCGCATAGGTCATGTTGTTCATAGGGTTGATATGAGTCATTGTGGAGAGGGTGTATAACAACACTATGTGCAAGATTATTTGTACTCTGTATGCATTTCTTATACTCACTTTAGGATGTTTAGAAAAAAACACATTGAGACTCGAAGGTAAAGGGACTTATCCCAGGTTTGCAAACACTAGAGTAGGTCATGGATTTGACTCTACAGTCTGAGCTCTAGGCAGAGGATTCCAGAGATTAGAATGACTCATTCATCTTTTATACTACTCAGCATTCAACATATGGGACATAAAGAATATATTGGATGATGAAGCAGGATAAATAAATTGAGATAAAATGTTATCCTGAGGAACCTGGATTTTATGCTGAAGACAGTGAGGAACCAATGAATATTATTGGGAGAGTGCTGTTGTTGTTATTGTTGTTTGCCATTGAGTTGCCTGCAACGTGTAGCAACCCTATGTACAACAGCCCTAAACTCTGCTCTATCCTGTGCCAATCTTATTGTCTCTGACACAGCTGCTCTCAATACCCAGTCACAGAATCAATCCATCTCATTGAGGGTCTTCCTCATTTGTGCTGTCCCTCCACCCTCCCAAGCATGCTGGTCCCACCTTGCAACATGTGCAGAATATGTTAGACAAAGCTTCAGAATCTTTGCCTCCAAGGAACAGCCTGGTCTCACCCTCTCTAGGACGAACCTGTTTGTTCTCCTAGCAGTCCATGGTATATTCAATACTCTTCTCCAGCACTACAGCTCAAAGGCATCAATTTTCCCCCTCTATTTCGTGGTCATTGTCCAGCTTTCTGATGCATAGCAAGTAATTGCAAAGACTATGGCCTGGATTAGGCACATCTTAGTCTCCAGACTGACATCATTGCCCTTTAGCACTTTGGAGAGGTCTCTGACAGTAGGTTTTCTCAATGCAATTTGTCTTTTACTTTCCTGGTTACTGGTACCCAGACTGTTGATTGTCGAATTGAGCAAACTAAAGCTGTTAGCAATCTCAATCTCTTCACCATGTATCATGATGCTGCCAATGGGCCCAGTGGTGAGAATCTTTGAAGCTCAACATCAAGAAATCAGTATTGAAAACTGTAGTCCTTTACCTTCTGCAATAAATGCTTCAGATCCTCGTCAGTTTCAGAATTAGGAGAGTAGTAGTTGGAATTATTGAGACTGGCTCAGGACAGAGCTGGGTTCAGAGCTGCTATACATTGGGTCGCTGGATTTCAGGCAACTTAACTACACATAACAGCAACAACAATAGTCGTTTATTAGCATGCTTCTTTTATTTATACACCAGACATTTTTTCATAGCATGTCTCTTGGAGGAAGTGCAAACAAGGTGCTCTTTAGAGGCAAGGATAGTGAAACTTTGTCTCACATACTTTGGACATGTTATTAGAAGAGGCTGTTTTTTGCAAAAAACTCATGATTCTCAGAAAAGTAGAGGCTCTGCAGAACAGAGGATGATCTTCAGTGAGGTGGATTAACACACAGTGACTGCAACAGTGGACTTGAGCATGGTGAAGAATAGGACAGGATCTGATCTCTTGTTTATAGGGTCGCTGTGAGTCACAGTTGACTCAACAGCATTTAACAACAATGTGCATCACATACTAAACTTAAATCTAAGGATGTAACTGTTGCAAAATAGATGGAATCCCTCCACTCATGAAGCATCCAGCAAAATAATATAGAGACAGTGATAAATTGTTTTTGTTGTTAGGTGCCATTGAGTCAGCTCGGGCTCATTGTAACGTCATTACAACCAAACAAAACCATCCTGGGAAACCTGTAAAAGGTATGAGCACAGGAGTCCCGAAACACTGCAGAGCAGGTAAAATCCAGCCAGAAGCTTTCTCTTTGCACCTTCCTAGTATCTTATGTGTTGATGCCTGATGCTGTGACTGCTTTTTCTTTTCTAGCATTAACCTTCTGTCCTCTACTGTTGGAGAGTTCATCTTGCAAATCTAATGAAGCCATTGATTCTGTTAACAAACATCCAGTTCACTATAAGACCTTTAATGGGATTTCATTTCGGAGGTCAATACAGTTGTCAATGGAACCATTTCCCCCAGGGGCCTGTTGGCTTTTTCTCTTGTACACTGGCAGAAGTTTGCCCTGTCTAGAATCAGAAAACACTGGAGAGTAACTAATGCTGTAACCTTAATTAGCTAGTTATCCTGCCCTAGGGCCATGAAATGGGACAGACTGAACTAGGTCAGATAATGGAGAGTGGGACAGAACTGTGCCCCTCTGATAATGATTTAAATTGTAGAAAACCGTCATTACCAGTACCTAGGTATTATTCCCTCACCAGCTATCGTATCATGGCCTAAAATTATTTCACTTCATTTGAATAAAAGTTTCATTGTTGGCATTAAGACTTGATTATATAAAGCACAAAGTACATGCACAAAACACAATATATCTGAATGATTATAGGCAAACATTTTATTATAAGCAAATAAATTTTTTAAAAAATAAAAACCAAAAGAAGTGCTGAATGTCTTTGCTTATTCTGCGAACATGAACCAAGAATCTTTTATGTACCTGACCCTTGGTTAGGTAAATGCTGGCATTGAAGAGATACGGACACCACAGTCACTCTTCTCAGAAACCCATGGACTAGGCAAGAATGCAGGATCACAGTGAATACAAAGGAAGCCAGGGCCACATAATGTTGGCATCCAGAAGAAGAACTGAGCCCAAGGAGATTTCAGAGAGGATATGCTGCCACTGTAGGGTCGTAAAGTCTGCATATGATTTTGCCAACAAAATAGACATGAGATCCAAGCTAAAGGAACAGCATTCACCAAAACAAAGAATAACAAAAGACTGCTGTGCTCCGCGATGATGATGCTTCCATATGCCTTGTGTATACAGGAAATAGGTCAGACGGTGAAAAGCCTTGTATGTTATGCTAAGGAATTTGGACTAAGCTTTAAAGTAGCAGGCAAACACATAATACCTTTGTCATGGCATGAAACACTCTTAAAAATATATTCTGTCTTTAATACTTCACTTCCTTTCAAACATAATAGATGGGAATTTAAGGTAGGACTTAACTAGGAAAAAGATCAGTAGACAGAGTAGTGAGTATAAGAATTGGGGATGGGGAACAAAACTGTCCTCAGAGGACTTGGAAAGGCAGGCAAGGAGGAGGTAGGGACCAGCCTTGAAATTTGTGGTTTTATTACTGCTACAGTAAGCCATAGCCCAAGATCTCAGGCAGTGTATCCTCCTGAAGCAAAGCCTCATTCAAAGCCAACCTTTACTTTTAAGGAAAGCTTTTTCCTTCTAGCTGGGTGATGAGAGCAGGAGCCTCTGAAGAGGAAGCTTCACCCACCAGCTGACCTTGACTGAGGTCACACTCCTGGACCACAAGTAGCTCTGCCTCCTTGGACACTGTCCAAGTCATGATAGCACATGGCCCCTCCGCTACTTTAGCAATAGTCCCAAAAGAGCAGAGTGTCTCCTCTTGGGACATGACAGCCGAAAGCCACAGCCTTCCTTTCTAGAAGGGAGCAAGCCATAGGAGCGGAAGTGGTACACCTCTCTGCTGTTGCTATGGAGTTTGATTCCCCCCCTTCTTATAATACCTTCAATTTGAGATAAAGATTTTTTTTTCTTTAACGTAAGGACTTTTTAAAAAAAAATTTATTTTATACTGGTTTACTTAAAAAGTTTGGATCCATTGTTTTTCACACTGGATCTTTCCCATTGGCCTTACCCACCCCTCCTTCCACCCATCAGATTGTGATACCCCCAATTATTGTGATTAACCACCCCCACCCATCCTCACCCCTCTGCTCCCACCCTCTCCCCTTGGATCTTCGTACGTGTTTTACTAGTTACCTTTCTATTTCTACAATAATAGTTTTATACACTATTTGTCCTTATGGGACTGAGTTAGATCACTTTGCATAATACTCTAAAGTCCCTCCCAAGTTAAGTAGTGATTTAAAAAATGATTGCTCCTGCGTGCTGCGTCGTTATTCCATACTGCGAATGTACCGTAATTTCTCAATACATTCAATTGTATTTGGATGTGTGGGCTATTTCTATCTTCTTACAATGGTGAAAAAGGCTGCTATGAACATTGGTGTACAAATCTCCATTTGTGCCTCAGTTCTCATTTTCTTGGGGTATATTCCAAGCAGTGGAATAGCTAGGTCATAGGGAATTTCTGTGTTCAGCTTTTTGAGGAAATGCCAAACTGCCTTCCAGAATGGTTGTACCATTTTATAGTCTCACCAACAATGTATAAGAGTTCCTGTCTTGCCACATCCTCTCCAATATTTATTACTTGCATTACTTGCTGTGCTGTTAAACTTTATCACTGTTACTGGAGTGAAAAGGTATCTCATTGTGGTTAGCATTTCTTCATGTGTCTGTGGCCATCTGAATATCTTTAGATAAGGACATTATTTTATTCTTTCTCACTCTCTTTCTCCTTTTCACAGACTCCTTGAGGAACATTTCTTCAGCAGCAAGCCATGGCCCCCGTTCTTCTCCAGCGGAGTTTAGCAGCTCCAACCAGCACCTTCTCCGAGAACGAAAATCCTCAGCTCCTTCACACTCCAGCCAGCCAACCTTGTTCACATTTGAGCCCCCTGTGTCAAATCACATGCAGCCGACCTTGTCCACCAGTGCACCTCAGGAGTATCTCTACCTGCACCAGTGCATAAGCCGGAGAGCAGAAAACACAAGGTAGGAGACTGCCCTGGGAGGTGATTAGCTGAATGGTCATTCACTGGGCTTAGTTCTTTCTACTTTAGAGGTTTTAGTTTTACAGAGAGATAAAGGCGTGTATCTTTTCAGGTAAGCAAATGCTTATATATATATAATAAAACTCTTTTTATCCCCTTATTTTATTACCTTCATTTTTTATTGTCAACCCCTGTGTGCTATAAAGATAAAAATCATGAGGTCCTCTCATTTCTGAACACTTAAAACTAAATCTAATATCCATTCTCCTAAGAGATTATGATTCATTTGTGTGTGACTAGTTCTTTTTGACTAGTTCAATTTCCATCAACTTATGCGTAAAAAATTCGTTGTGAACAATTCAGTTTGATGAATTGTCTAAAATCACTGAACTAGTTGGTGGCAGAACTGTGAATAGTATGTGATTTTCCTGACAGACAAGAAGGTAGGCAGTATAGTGTAAATTTGGAGTCATAGAGTCCAGAATGAAGGCTACGTAGTGGAGTGGAGTGGGGGCGGTGGCGGAGGAGGGGGAAATTGTATAACAATGAAAGAATTTTTCTTTTATTTTTTAAAGAGAAGAGCAAACAGGGGTGGGAGGAGGGATGGGCAGGGAGAAAAATGCAAGAAGGAATGAATGGAAATCCAAAGTCTCTGTAAACATTCATTAAAATTAATTTCAAATTAATTTCAAAAACCCAACAATAAAAAATTTGGAGTCATTCAGGTATGAGTTCAAATTCAAATTCTTCCACTTCCCTTGTGTTCTTGAGTAGGCTACTTCTTTGAGTTTTCATTTTCTTATTTGTGGGATGGAAATAACTAATTTAAAAACTCATTAATGGTCATTACATGGCAAGGCATACATAAAATATCCACTAGATACAAAGTACATATTCTTGGCATCCTGGAGCTCTGTCCCTTTTACTACAAATATAATTACCCAAGCATAGAGTGCTTTGACTATAGAGTCTTTTTTTTTAATTAAATTTTATTAGTATTAATGAACATTTACAGAGATTTTGGTTTTCCATTCATTCATTGTTGCACTGTTTTCTCCGCCCTCATCCCCAGTTCGTTCTTCTTTCCCGCCCCTCCATGTCTGTTTTAATTGTCCAATTGCCACAGTACTTGTCAAAGCCAGTTCTGATTAATCTCCTTTGTCAGTGTGTCCCTTGCCATTCCCTATCACTCCTCCCTGAGAGAGACTTCACCCTGATTCATAAGGAAAGGGGTTGGCGTATTCGCTTAGCTACTTCCTGCTGAAAAGGGACGCTGTGGGTTTCAGGGTGAAGGTCTTCTCTCACTACTCTAAAGGGCCCCTTTGGCAGTAGGAAACACATAGACTATTATGGAGATTGATTTTGGAATTTAGATGCACTCTTATTGATTGTGCTTGGCCGTACATGTTCATATCCTTGAAGATGTATCATGGGGGTGTTGCAACCTAGAAGACACAAATTTGACTAACAAGTTATAAGTACATGAGTCCAAAAATTATGGAAAAGTAAAAGAAAAGATTCTTTCATTGTTTTACAAACCCTCCCCCAGGTCCCCTCCACCATGTAGCCCTCGCTCTAGTCTCCTGTGATGACAGAAATACCTAGTTATATATCTCTTTTAAACAGTTTTCTCCCTCCTCTGTTTCAGTGCAGTATACATTATTGAACCCATCTTACTCAGTCTCTCTCCAACCCCAAGGACAGTCCCATTCTACAACAGTGGCATCATGTAATATTTGTCCTTTTGTGACTGGGATATTTCACTCAGCATAATGTTCTCCAGAGTCAACCATTTTGAATAATATTGCATGAGTTCCTTGTTTTTTAATGCAGCATAGTATTCCATTGTGCGAATATACCACAGCTTCTCTAGCCATTCGTTTGTTGATGGGCACTTAGGTTGTTTCCAACTCCTTGCTATTGTGAACAAAGCTGCAATAAACATGGGTGTGCATATATCTGCTTGGGTGTCAGTTATGGTCGCTTCTGGGTATATTCCCAGTAGTGGTATTGCGGGATCAAATGGTATCTCTATTTGCAACTTTTTGAGAAAGCGCCATACCACCTTCCACAGGGGTTGCACCATTTTACACTCCCACCAACAGTGAATCAGGGTTCCAGTTTCTCCACAACCTCGCCAGCATTTATTTCTTGCTGTTCTGTTAAATTTTGCTATTTTGACTGGGGTGAGATGATATCTCATAGTTGTTTTAATTTGCATCTCTCTTAGGGCTAGGGATTTTGAGCATTTCTTCATGTGCTTGTTAGCCATCTGAATGTCGTCTTCGGTGAAGTGCCTGTTCATATCCTGTGCCCATTTTTCTATTGGATTATTTACCTTTATCTTGTTGTGGTGCTCAAGTATTTCATAAATTCTGGATATAAGTCCCTTATCTGATATGTTATTACCGAATACTTTTTCCTAGTCAGTGGCTTCCCTTTTTACCCTACTGGAGAAGTTTTTGGATGTGCATAGGGATTTGAGTCTTAGAAGATCCCATTCATCTACGTTACCTTCTCCTGGTTGTAGGTTAGAGTATAGTCTTAAAATCACAAGTCTAGTGAAAGATAAAGTGCTATATATTGGTATCTCTCGAATGTACACGTGCAGATGAAGACTTGAGAATCTTGTTGAATCACAAATTCTGTTTCAGTCTGTAGACCTGGAGTCGATTTTGAGATCCTGTCCCAGATAAAGTTCCGGATAATGGCAGTGTATCTTGTCTGAAGATCACACTTTGAGGAGAAGACATTGTATCAGGTGGTGCTGAGTCAACTCTGACTCATAGAGATCCTGTGAACAACAAATCAGGACCTTGCCCTACCCAGCACCATCCTTGGTCTCCACCATGGTCTAGCCCATTGTTGCAGTCACTTTGTTAATCCAATACTGGCACCTCCTGGCTACATGCCCAAAGTATGTGAGACAAAGTGACACATACTAAAAAAGAAGTTTCACATTCTCTTCTTTGTAGACATTAAAGATTTTAGATAATATTGTTTTATATACTGTAGAATCGTTACCCACCATAGCAAACCCTCTGGCAAGTTTTCAGAGGCAGTTAATTGTACGCGAAGAGACTGCCCATCCTCAGCAGAGCAGCTGGTGGCCACGAACCATGTGCCTTTGGGATTGCAGTGCAGCTTCTTGCCCCTAGGCCACCAGAGCTCCCTTTTGATAATATTAACAACCATTATTACCTTCCC